TCAGATGGGGTATTTTGTTAAGAAGGAGAGATGCAGGAGACAATGCGGGAGAGAGTGACACTGTTCAAAAGGAAATGTACTCATTACCTGACTTCTGTAAATGTAGCCCTTCTGTACATCACCTTTACAATAAAATTGTTTTTTAGAAAAAGAAGGAAAGACCACAGTCTCTGTCCCATGCTTATACAAAGACTGGGGAAGAAACAGAGATTCTCTGGAATCAATGTGTAAACACAAAAATCCAACTAGATGACTATGGAACAAATGCTGAAGTGACTTCAGTGGTCAACACTTACTAAAACCTGGGAAGATTTCCCAGAAAAGGTTTTTGTCAAATAGAGTATTGAAGAGACAAGGAACACCACACACTCTTTCACAAGTTCACCCTCAGTTTCTTTATGATTGGCATATTTACTACCTAATTTGTCTGAATAGTATTGTCTCTGTCACAATGAAGGTTAATGGAAGTGGCTTGTGATTCTAAACTCTACTGAGGAACACTGATTTTATCCAGATGTATTTGGCCTCCGAAACTCATCAGATTTAGTGTGTTTTGGGGTGCAGTGCTGCTCTAGGTTGGCTTTTCTCATTCCTGCTAATGCATTCACACATACCAGGAACACGAGTTTGCCTTTGCATTCAACAACAAAGAAATCATCATTTGTCTTGCTCTTGGAAAGATTGACACTATATACTATACATCAATTTTCCTTGATTGTAGTTGCCATTTGTAGGATGTCACTACACTTTTCTTGTTGATTTTGCTTTGTTGTTTTATGGTGCTAGTGCTGGGGCATTGTTCAAGGTTAGCACTTTACCCTTAAGCTTCACTCCTGGCTTTTTACAGAAGTGGCTAATTGGAGAGAAGAGTCTCATGGACTTTCCTGTCTGGGCTGGCTTTGAATGATGATTCTCAGATCTCAGCCTCCTGAGTGGCCAGGATTACAGGCATGAGCCACCAGTGCCCAGAAAAGTCTTTAAAAAGTCTTAAAAAGTATATGATTTGATTATTTTGCATCAATCTATCAGTCTATTCCTATATGTTACATTTGGACTATGTTCAAGGTTTGTATCATTGGCTCTTTGAGGTCTTTTCTGTGTGCTGTAGTTTCTTGCATCTTTATCTGAAATTCAGCTTTTGTGAGGATAGTTGGTCATGAATATGTGGATTGAGTTTGGGTTGGAGTCACTCTCTGCCATTACACAGAAATTGTAACCAAGATTCTGAGGATGATGACCTTTCTCAGCCTTGGTGCAATAATTTCAAGCCATTGAAGATAAATTGCCTCCAAATGAATGACGCTGATATTCCACATTTGCCTTCTGATCTTTCTACATCCAGTCACAACAGGTTCAATGCCAGCCTGTTCTCAACTTTAAGAGATGATAGACAATCTCATCATCTGTCCTGTAGACTCACAGACTGAGTATACTTTGGGATATAACCTGGGATGAGAATAATGCTCTCTTGGTCACTGAGGGTTGGTGGTTTTGCCCTGGTTTTTCTGAGCCTCAGGCTGACAGAAGTCTATACTTACTAATTAGGTACAGCTTCCCAGATGTTGCGAGATGAAAGGGACATCAAAGTCTATAATTCAAACTTCTTCACAAGGTTGGCATTGCTTCCCCAGTAGCTTAGTGAGGAAAGTTTTTATGTTGTGCTTACATTGTGTCTTTTTGTGACTTTGCTCCATAGTCCTAACTCACTCTGAAACTATACAAAATGAATCTCTTTCTTCCACCACAGATTGATTGTACTTTGGCTACCAGAAGACATACCATCTTGCTATTATTTTCCTTTAGGTCAAACACCCAGAGTGCCTATAATCTTCCACTTCCTATGAAACTGAAAATTATACTTTCATAAATCAGTGTCCTTCCCCTGTCCAAATCCTACACCTTTTTTTCTACATATGTGGCTCTGTTGTCCTTTCACCTGGCTAGGCCTGGAATCATTTGAGTCTAAACCTTACTCTTGTTTTACATAGGAATAAACTGAGGCATGGAGAGATACTCATATGGTTAGGGGTAAAATCAGATTCAGATTTAACATAATAAAGATTTTAATTCCTTTCTATGTGACATTTTCACTATGTCATGCAGAAGGCCAAATACAAATGTGGCATATTTTTTTTGTTTTTTGTTTTGTTTTTTGTTGGTCAAGGCATGACTTTGGTTCTAGAAAGTTTTATTCAAGTAGAATATCTTTTTTTCTTGAGCATTTTCCCTGATTGCAATAGTCCAGTAGTTGAATTTACATTTTTGTGCTCCATCACCTTGCTCCAAATGCACAAAGCTGCCTCCAGGAAATTACCTTTTGGCATCTGAAGTCTTGGGACCTCAAAACTGCTTCAGTCATGTCCATCCATAGATTAATTACATGTAATTTTGATCAAGCCTGGCAAAAAAGCAATAAATAAGGAAATAGAAAATTCAAAAACAGCAAAAAATTAAAAAAAATTAATTGTAAAGATATTGAACAGAAGGGTTACAGTTACATGAGTTAGGTAATGAGTACATTTCCTATCAAGCATTGTTACCCTCCTTTGTTCCCCCCCCACCATCCCTTCCCTCCCCGCTCCCCCCCACCCCTGCAAGTTGTAAAGTTCATTTTCAACATAGTGTCTTGTATGTCTCATTGTTACAATGGGTCAACCTGTATCCTTATTTCATCATTTTGTTATTTCCCTTCCTCTCCCCAAATTAGAAAAATGTATATATAAGGGGCTGGGAAGGTAGCTCAGTGGTAGAGTGCATGCCTTGCAAGCATGGGGCCCTGGGTTCGATTCCTCAGCACCACATAAACAGAAAAAGCCGGAAGTGGCGCTGTGGCTCCAGTGGTCGTGCTCTAGCCTTGAGCTGAAGAGCTGAGGGACAGTGCCCAGACCCAGAGTTCAGGCCCCATGACCAGCAAAAAAAAAAAAACCACTCAACTTTCAGGCTGGGAAGGTGGCTCAGTGGTAGAGCGCTTGCCTTGCATGCTCGAGGCCCTGGGTTCGATTCCTCAGCACCACATAAGCAAAAAGAAAAAGCCGGAAGTGGCGCTGTGGCACTTGTGGCTCAAGTGGTCGAGCTCTAGCCTTGAGCTAAAGAGCTGAGGGACAATGCCCAGGCCCAGAGTTCAGGCCCCATGACCGGAACCCCCCCCCCCAAGAAAAGAAAAGAAAAGAAAAATGTATATACAAGATGCAGGGCACTGGAATCAAATACATAACAATAGGGGTTATACCATGGGGGGAAAACATACAAAAGAAACACAAAAATCACATAGTACATTAAAAACAACAGCAACAAAGATAAAACTTCTTGGGAGGCTGGGAAAGTGGCTCAGTGGTAGAACACTTGTCTTGCATTCCTCATCACCACATAAGCAAAAAGAAAAAAGCTGGAAGTGGTGCTGTGGCTCAAGTGGTAGAGTGCTAGCCTTGAGCTGAAGAGCTGAGGGACAGCGCCCAGGTCCAGAGTTCAGGCCCACGACCAGACCCACAAACAAACAAACAAAAAACTTCTTCAGTCCCTATCTTGGGGTTCATTTTGCTTAGCATCATCTTGTATGGTCATATATACATAGCTTTTGACCTTTTTTGCTTGTCTGATAAGATTATCCTAGATGTATACTAGTCATTGCAAATAAGAGAAACCATGGGACCTATGTTTCTTTGCGTCTGGCTTACTTAATTTAACTTTTTCCAAGTCTTTCCATTTCCTAACAAATGGGACAGTGTCATTCTTTCTTATGGAGACATAGAATTCATATAAATATATATTTTTTGGGGGGGGATCTGGTCGTGGGGCCTGAACTCTGGGCCTGGGCGCTGTCCCTCAGCTCTTCAGCTCAAGGCTAGAGCTGGACCACTTGAGCCACAGCGCCACTTCCGG